TATTTTTAAAAAGAACTACAAAAAAATTAACATATTTTTTACATAGAATTAAGCATAATGATTATGGCTCTAGAGTGCAGGAAAAAGATGTTTAAGGTGTTTGAAAAATGCAAAATTCTCCACCACCCCTAGCCATCCTTATTTCCTTTGTGCCCCTTCAGATTTTTGGAGTCCACGCCTTCAAATGTTGATATTTGGTTGTTTTGATAACCAAACAAAATTCAATATCACTAAATATCATTCAATTTGAAATCAACCAGAGTTTTTTATTTTTTTTATTTAACCTTTATTTAACCAGGTAAGCCAGTTGAGAACAAGTTGTCATTTACAACTGAGACCTGGCCAAGATAAAGCAAAGCAGTGCGATAAAAACAACAACACAGAGTTACATATGGGGTAAAACAAAACATAAAGTCAAAAATACAACAGAAAATATATATACAGTGTGTTCAAATGTAGCAAGTTATGGAGGTAAGGCAATAAATAGGCCATAGTGCAAAATAATTACAATTAGTATTAACACTGGAATGATAGATGTGCAAGAGATGATGTGCAAATAGAGATACTGGGGTGCAAATGAGCAAAATAAATAACAGTATGGGGATGAGGTAGTTGGGTGGGCTAATTTCAGATGGGCTGTGTACAGGTGCAGTGATCGGTAAGGTGCTCTGACAACTGATGCTTAAAGTTAGTGAGGGAGATAAGAGTCTCCAGCTTCAGAGATTTTTGCAATTCGTTCCAGTCATTGGCAGCAGAGAACTGGAAGGAATGGCGGCCAAAGGAGGTGTTGGCTTTGGGGATGACCAGTGAGATATACCTGCTGGAGCGCATACTAGGGGTGGGTGTTGCTATGGTGACCAATGAGCTAAGATAAGGCGGGGATTTGCCTAGCAGTGATTTATAGATGGCCTGGAGCCAGTGGGTTTGGTGACGAATATGTAGTGAGGACCAGCCAACAAGAGCGTACAGGTCACAGTGGTGGGTAGTATATGGGGCTTTGGTGACAAAACGGATGGCACTGTGATAGACTACATCCAATTTGCTGAGTAGAGTGTTGGAGGCTATTTTTTAAATGACATCGCCGAAGTCAAGGATCGGTAGGATAGTCAGTTTTACGAGGGCATGTTTGGCAGCATGAGTGAAGGAGGCTTTGTTGCGAAATAGGAAGCCAATTCTAGATTTAACTTTGGATTGGAGATGCTTAATGTGAGTCTGAAAGGAGAGTTTATAGTCTAACCAGACACCTAGGTATTTGTAGTTGTCCACATACTCTAGGTCTAATGTATTGTCTATTTTTAGTTGAATTCTGGGTTGAATTGAAACATAGCTGTGGATGATGGGAGACTAAAAGGTAGCCGTAGATAGATAAATTCTCCAGAGGAGAACAATACGTTGACAAATTACGTTTAAACAACGTTGATTTGACCAGTTTGTGCCCAGTGGGTGGTCTCTGCTCCACACCGTTGGTGGAGTTCATCAGAAACTTCCTTCACCATGGAGTGGAGTTTAGTCAGCTATGGCTACTTTAAACAATTAACAATCAAAGAAATGTGACCTAAAAGATATTGTAATGATCTATATCTGCCTGACAGAAGAGTGAACTTTTAACATTTTCTTTCCTCTTTATAGTAACACATTTTACTGCCCTGAAAGGGATTGCCTAGTGTATAGAAAGTGAGTCCTATATGAAACATTACACAGTCCTTTTACGTACACCTATATAGTATAAAACTCCCCTAGCCCTTCTGGTTCAGGTCCTCGAGGAGGATGTAGGGCTTTAAACAGTATCTGGACAATAGATAGAGCTGAACTCAGACCTCCATTGCCCTTTCCCTTCCCACTTGTCATGTTTAAACACCCAGCCAATGGCTCATCCATGATACAGGCTTGAGTCTGAGGAAGCCACAGCAGCAGCAACCCAGTCAGAGGCATAAATCATTATTGAGTGCATCCTAAATGGTACCCTATTCCCTATATACAGGTGTAGGATCTTCATTTGACCTCTACCTCAGTTTGCTCCTCAATTCATGCATATTGGTTGGAAAGCAAGGTAGCAGCAGTGATCTATTCTCTTCCTTTGATCGCCCTGTAATTCAGGAAATGTAAAACTTGTAGTGTATTTTAGGTTTAAAAAGCCTTCTGAAGTTTGACATTTTTTGTAACGTGGCTCATTTAGCGAAGATCGCTACAATATGTTGATTATTAAAGGCAAACAGCGAATTGTTTTAAATAAAATATATTCTTAATAGTTGGGCATTTACAAAGAACACAAACCTTGGTTAATATGTAACCTATTGACATACATTACAGGTCTGGACATCAAGGACAGAACGAATGGGAATCAAAACAAATCGTTATGGCCGGTGAGATAGAGCGCAACATTCTCTCTGTCCACTGCAGATGTAGTCTACACAAACCAACCAGACTGCGAGACAGACAGACCTGCACAGTTTCCGTGACATGCCCAATTCGAGTCTGGGTGACGTATCTCCATTAGTGATGTGACGTTGCCGTGCTCTAGATGTAGTGGTTTCTGGCTGCATCTTGTTGACGGTCGGTAGAACAGAGGAGAACCGAGAGAAGAGGAGCCGAAACGATCTCATTCAGGCAAGTCTTTTTAATCGGGTTTCGGTACGTCCTTATTTGCGTCTATGTACATTATGAAATGGGTAATGTTATGTATCATGTGTTGGATTATTTTACGGTTTAACGAAATAGAGGCATGCTTTGAGGGTTTTAACAAGCGTTCGCTAATTGTTAACTAGCCTAGGCTAGCTTACTATGGCTTCACACAGCGCAGGGTGTGTAACAGAAGTGGCTATGCTAACCTAACCTCGCTAATCCCCGTTTGCCCAGCTCGGATATACATTTTTGTAGCTAAAGCAATGCTAATTCGAGCTATCGAATTGGCTTTCTCTGTTTTCTTTTACGCGGTCCTCAAATGTGTTGCCATAATAATTGTAACGTTATTGGTTTCCTTACATTTGATTATCATAATATTCGCTATTTTATGTTTAATTTCCCGAAAGACAAGTATTTATCGGGGTTCGTGGTGTAAAATACACCACACAGCAGCCTTTGCTAGCTAATTCTCATGTCGGCTAAACTTGCTGCTACAAGCCGGGTATGTGGTTCTACGTTCAGCTAATGTTAGCTGGCAATTGTAGGTAACTAACTAGGTCGATAGACCGTCTAGTCGCCAGTGAATGTCATTATCAGTGCTGTCTGCATACCAGTGCCATCGTGGCGAGCCAGAGAGAAGGGGGCGGGAGAGAGGAGGAATGGAGCAGAGCGCAAGCTGTGCGCGGTGTCCTTGCTAGCTACGAAGGGGGTGACACTGCGCGAGATGGAGAAAAAAACAGCAAGGGAATCTCAACGATATATATTTTTTTGAGAAATAGTTAGATTTGTAAGAATATTAATATTGTCTAAAAACCTGTCTAAAACCGAAATTGTTGCGTGGGGAAAATGTCCGTTTTGGTTGTAAATCCACGCCGGAATCACGGGTAGTGAAGCTTGCATCGCCGCAGACCTCCTTGCATAGTTAGTTATGTAATTATTACCATACTGCGACCAAAGCCTGCTCTGTGGTCCGACTTTTTGTTCCCGATAGTAGCTCGCTTTGGTGGAAAGATCTGGCGGCGGTGTACTGTAGTTACTGCATGGAGGTCAGTGGTGCTGCTGGTATAATCTAGCTAACGCGTTAGTGTTGTTGCTTTTGTCCGCACACAGCTACATTTGAACTGCCTAAACGCATGTAGTCTCTTAAATTGTTTGATATATATATATATAATTTAACCCCATTTTGTCTATGGCAGCCGATTTTAAATGGATGATAATGTAGTATAAAAGACATTGGTCACCCACAAGCACCAATATGATTGTAGCTTTATTGGAGACTGGTTCTTTACACCGCCCAATGTTGAGGGTTTCCAGTGAAATGTTGTAGCCACAGATATTTACGTTTTCCTAAAATTGGATTACAATACAATTTACTGTTAATAAAACCGTAGTTTATAGGTGTAACTAGGTATGAACAGTTTATTATTCGAATTTATGCAGTGTAAATGCAGGTAGATTCCGTGGCTTAGGGAAGATACCTCGTTCAACATCCATTTAATGTCACGCTGTGCATTTCGGTAACAATTGAACTGGTTGAATGAGAGCCTTTATACTCTTTTATCAATTGTTTTTCACATAGTTGATGGGGTCAGCGTGGGGTTACCAGTAGAGCAGACCTTGGCTTGAGGATAGCAAGCAGGACAACTGGTGGGGTTGGGGAGGCTGGCTATTTGGTCAATTTGGAGCCATTTGGGCAAGTTGTTAATTTGATTACCTAGGCGACACCAAGTGTGAACTTTTTGTCACAGTATCTAGTGACAGAAAGAAGGCCAGAGAGAATTGCTAGATACTAGTTGTTGGTTGTCTGGCCACCTGGTTGGTTTAACTTGACAAAACTAGCACTTTCTGTTGGCAATGGAATGGTGCTTTATTGGTGTGGTGGGTGAAAACTTGTCATTGCCCCATGGGGTTTAATGACAAGGGCTGAATGGGCAGATGTTTGAGTGGTGAGGTATGGTAATAGCCACTCAACCCCCAACCAGGATAGCCTCCATAAAACATTTAAACACCTTCAACTTTATTTTATGCTCAGAGAAAAACTCATCTGATGGGATGGTCTTCTATTTAGAGGAATCCTTTCAGATTACATGAAAAAGGCTACATGCAGGCTGAACATAGTTTGAGGTTTACCAGTGATTAAAAAAATACAAATGTTCCCCCTTCGGTTTGTGTTAACGCCAGAACCCTTCCACTCCCCCACAGGAAACAGACAGACAGAAACACAGCAGTCTCCGCCATGTACCTTTCTGAACACCAGAAGATCTGGAACATTTGAAACGAGAACAAAACATACTAACAAAACCCACATTAACTCAACCGGTTCTATAAATCCAAGTGAAGCTGGTAGTGGAACGAGACGGACCTCTATCAACGCCGACATGGCCAGTACTCAAACAAGTCTGAAAACCCCATTCAAAGACCTGACCTTGTTCAAGGGCAACATGAAGCGGCTGTACCGCGAGAGGCTAGAGGACGCGCCCATCAAGAAGAGGCTGATGGCTGAGATGAACCTGAAGCGACGCAGCCTAGACACCCTGCTCCAGACCCCCAAGGTGAAGAGGGAGGCTGGGGAGGAGCAGACCCAGCACCGGGAGGCAGATGGAGGCATGGATAGATCCATAGAGATGGACAGTAGAGGGGAGCTCCAGGTATGTGGAGCCAAGGCTCTGGATCTCAGCCCTGGGCTGAAACACACACTGGCTGCCTTCACCCTCAGCAGCCAAAGCTCTCTGGGGGGCCCAGCAGCCTTCTCCGCCCGCTCCGGCCACGAAGCCTCCTCCTCCCCCGAGGTCGGCCCTGATTCCTGCCCCGGCATGGCCCCTCTACCCTCCCCACCAGTCCTAGGAGGTGGACCCCTCTTGGTGCCCAGCGACAGCTCCACAGAGTTAAGCCACTCCCTTCTAGAGGGAGAATCCATCTCCAGCTTCGCTGTCGGTGGGGAGAAACGCCTCTGCCTCCCCCAAGTGCTCAACTCGGTGCTCCGCGACTTCTCCTTACAGCAGATTAACGCAGTGTGCGACGAGCTCTACGTGTACTGCTCGCGCTGCGACGGCGAACAGCTCCACATCCTCAAGGTGCTGGGTATTTTACCCTTCAACGCCCCGTCCTGCGGCCTCATCACCCTTACCGACGCCCAGCGCCTCTGCAACGCCTTGCTCCGCCCGGGGGCCGCCCTGCCCTCTGACCCCAGCACCAAGCGGCCCGGCCAGGGGCTCCTCAAGGACACAGAGGCTAGCTTCCAGGTGGAGCATCAGTGTCTAGGGAAATGCCAGGGTCTGTTTGTACCCACGTTCTACACGCAGCCCGAGGCGCCCTGTATTCAATGCGTGGAGTGCCAGCTGCTTTTCTCACCGCAGAAGTTTGTGATGCACTCTCACAAGTCCCCGGACAAGAGGACCTGTCACTGGGGCTTTGACTCGGCCAAGTGGCCGTGCTACCTGCAGCTGGGGAGGCAGTATCTGGGGACGGCTGAGGAGCCGCAGCTCAAACTGCTGCTTGAGGACATGAAGGACAAGTTCCACTACAACAGGACCACTGACAAAGTAAGCACTGATTCTCTTATTGTGTGTGTGTGTGTGTCAGAATTATTTTATTTTGTCAGTTCGTTTGGTTACACTGTCGATACCATTTGTTGGTAGTTGTATCTATTGAGTCTCAAGAAGCCAGCCCCAGCTATGGGTCTCATTAGGTGTGTGTGTGTGTGTGTGTGTGTGTGTGCATGCGTCAGAATTTGTGTGTGTGTATAAGACAGGACACATGGGACAGGTGTCACCCCTCCTGCTGGCTGTAGTGTTTTAGATCCGAGCATTTCGCTGCACCTGCGATAACATATACAAATTTGTGTACGTGACCAATAAACTTTGATTTGAGGAGGGGCGGACAGGATGACCACTGACCAGTTGGTCTCTCTCTCTCGGTCGGCCCCTGTGTGTGTGTGTGTCACGGGGAAGGGCATCATTTGTCTTCCAGGTCAGCTGGAGGTCACTAGAACCATCACTAGACAATAGGCCACAACACAAACTGGACTAGTGGACTCTCTCTCACATACCTCTGGGCTGGAATGGATGGGCAGACAATTAGCATCCATTGCATCCACCCGCTACACACTTCCATATTTAAATTACTTTGTAAGTATTATGAAGTCATTTAGTTAATTTATACTTTTAGGGACGGTAAACATTTTTTTATGGAGAATGTACTTTGAGAATGCTTCTTAGTCTAGGGTTTTGCTGGGCGATATGGCCTAAATATCATATCACGAAATCTTTCAAATTTATGACAGTATTTTACGTTCTTGAATAATACAAGTTCTAAATATGAGTAGTTTAGCACCCTAGGGTGGTAACACATAAATTATAAGTGATTTCAATACAGCTTGCTCCATTCTGATTGTTTTATACGGTTCAACCACCTCAAAAATACTGCATTTTCATACATTTCTGCATTTCCTGCATTTTTGTTATTTCCATACTGTGCCACGTAGGGGCTCCATGATGGATATGGGCAAACAATCTAGGCCTAGTTTATTGGTGAACTGTTGGAATCATGGAAATACAAGGATTATTGTAATTCAATAGTTGTAATATAGTGGACAGCACTTTGAATACTTTGTTGTTTGACATGACAACAAATGAATAAGCCAGGAAGGAATTATTGGGACAGGGTAGTGTTGGTCAAACACCGCCTGGTATAGAGGTCCTGGATGGCAGGAAGCTTGGCCCCACTGATGTACTGGGCCGTACGCACTACCCTCTGTAGTGCCTTGCGGTCGGAGGCCGAGCAGTTGCCATACCAGGCAATGATGTATCTCCCGAGTGGCGCAATGGTCTAAGGCACTGCATCGCAGTGCTAGCTGTGCCACTAGATATCCTGGTTCGAATCCAGGCTCTGTCGTAGCCGGCCGCGACCGGGAGACCCATGGGGCAGCGCACAATTGGCCCAGCGTCGTCCAGGGTCGGGGAGGGAATGGCCGGCAGGGATGTAGCTCAGTTGGTAGAGCATGGCGTTTGCAACGCCAGGGTTGTGGGTTCGATTCCCACGGGTGCCAGTATGAAAAAAATATAATAAAAAAAATAATGTATGCACTCACTAACTGTAAGTCACTCTGGATAAGAGCGTCTGCTAAATGACTAAAATGTAATGTAAATGATGCAACCAGTCAGGATGCTCTCGATGGTGCAGCTATAGAACTTTATGAGGATCTGAGGACCCATGCCAAATCTTTTCAGTCTCCTGAGGGTAATAGGCTTTGTCGTGCCCTCTTCACGACTGTCTTGGTGTGTTTGGACCATGATAGTTTGTTGGTGATGTGGACACCAAGGAACTTGAAGCTCTCTACCTGTTCCACTACAGCCCCGTCGATGAGAATGGGGGCGTGCTCAGTCCTCTTTTTTTCCCCTGTAGTCCACAATCATCTTCTATGTTTTGATCACGTTGACCGAGAGGTTGTTAACCTGGCACCACACGGCCAGGTCTCTGACCTCCTCCCTATAGGCTGTCTCATCGTTGTCGGTGATCAGGCCTCCCACTGTTGTGTCGTCGGCAAACTTAATGATGGTGTTGGAGTCGTGCCTGGCCATGCAGTCATGGATGAAGAGGGAGTACAGGAGGGGACTGAGCACACACCCCTGAGGGGCCCCCTTGTTGAGGATCAGCGTGGCAGATGTGTTGTTACCTACCCTTACCACCTGGGGGCGGCCCATCAGGAAGTCCAGGATCCAGTTGCAGAGGGAGGCGTTTAGTCCCAGGGTCCTTAGCTTAGTGATGAGCTTTGAGGGCACTATGGTGTTGAACGCTGAGCTGAAGTCAATGAATAGCATTCTCACGTAGGTGTTCCTCTTGTCCATGTGGGAAAGGGCAGTGTGGAGTGCAAAGAGATTGTGGTTCTGTTGGGGCAGTATGCAAATTGGAGTGGGTCTAGGGTTTCTGGGATAATGGTGTTGATGTGAGCCATGACCAGCCTTTCAAAGCACTTCATGGCTACAGACGTGAGTGCTACGGGTCGGTAGTTATTTAGGCAGGTTATTTTAGTGTTCTTGGGCACAGGGACTATGGTGGTCTGCTTGAAACATGTTGGTATTACAGACTCAGTCAGGGACAGGTTGAAAATGTCAGTGAAGACACTTGCCAGTTGGTCAGTGCATGCTCGGAGTACACGTCCTGGTAATCCGTCTGGCCCTGCGGCCTTGTGAATGTTGACCTGCCTAAAAGTCTTACTCACATCGGCTACTGAGAGCGTGATCACATAGTCATCCGGAACAGCTGATGCTCTCATGCATGCTTCAGTGTTGCTTGCCTCGAAGCAAGCATAGAAGTGATTTCGCTCGTCTGGTAAGCTTGTGTCACTGGGCAGGTCATTTAACAAACCAAACATTGAAATAGTGTTAAATGGTAAATTAGAAACCCATACCCGTTTGCGTATCAACACCGGTAGGGGTGTAACGGTACACCGTTCTGTACTGGGACCTCGGTTCGGTCTGCACTGTGAACTCGAATGAATACAATGCACCCTGTGTTGCGCTTACTACAGACGGATGGACCTCCAGGGCTACGGAGAGCTACTTAACAGTGACAGCCCATCACATTACCCCAGAGTGGGATATGAGAAGTACTGTGCTACAGACACACCCCCTTTATGAGAGTCACACAAGTGACTAGGAACTACAGTAACTGTTGGCATTTCATTTTCCCGCTGTAACCGAACCGTGGGTTTGGTTAAACTTTTACACCCCTAAATACCGGTGTATGTATATAGTAAAATACGGTATACTGCACAACCCTAGTTTAGGGCCCTATAAAAATCTGTTTTATTTTTTTGACTGATTCCAGTTTTTCCCGGTCTTTGCTCTCAAACCCACACTTTTATAATGGAAAACAACAATATTTGATGTTTTTAGTCCACAACAATGCTTAAAAATAAGAAATGTTGTTTCTTGGGTGTAGTTACCATACGATGCCAGCAAGAGACCGTTGTTTGGTTAGCAATTTTTCTGTAGTGCTCATGTGATTGCAGAGTTTGCAAAACAAATGGCCACTGGATTTATGCAATAATCATGATATCATTCTGCCATGTAGGCATAGGCTACTTTGTAGTTAACATTTAATTTAGGAGGTTTTTGGGAAAGCTGTTCCATCTCTACCAGAAGGTTATCATTAGCATCATCTCTAACGGCTACACAAAGTGTAGACAGGCTACATGCGCAGCTCACACACACACACACACACACAGACGGGCATTCCTGTGCCATTTCAGAAAGTTGCAGGAAAATACGAATCACTGATTCATTTTGTTCATGTCTTATGATTATCTTGGGCAAATTAATGCATTTTTTATAATTTCAATGCATTTAAGTTTATTTCATAAAGTTCAATACATTTTTGTTATATTGTTGAATGATGTTTTAATGTCTTCGCACCGTGGATTTTCTAGGGCCCTGTTAGTCCAGGACTAGGCTTAAAATGTGTCCAGGAAACCATCCTTTTATCTTTATTTGTACCACTGAGCTGGAGTGTACAGGAACAGGCACCTAAGCCCTTGCATGGGGGAATTCCCATGTTGCATCACCATCACCACCAGTGCTTTCCACTAAAGACCAGAACCCAAGGGAGGCTTCTACAGAGCAGAGGGGGTTTTGATGGTTTTTACTTTCCGTCATTCGTACAAAACAAAAGTGACAGTGGGAGAGAGAGCAGAGCAGAGCACGGGCCAGGACCTATAGAAATGTCAGACACCCTGAAGAAGGCACAGTGATGCCGAAACGTTGGTGTTTTACCCAATAAATTAGTGGGAGTTTATACATATGGAGTGTGCGACTCTCTTTGTTTTTATAGCTGAAAATACAAAAAGCTCTAGATTGGTTCCCTTCCATTGACTGGTTCACATCCATGTCTCATGTTCTCTTCTTGACCAAACCGGACTATCATGTGCATCCCAAATGGCACTCTATTCCCTATAAAGTGCACTACTTTTGACCAGGGCCCATAAGTCTCTGGTCAAAAGTAGCGCGGTATCTATGGAATAGGGTGACATTTGGGATGCAGGCTCAGTTATGTATTGTTGAGAAAAACACTGACTTTAACTGGTGTTTTCTAGGCCAAGTAATTTGTCTTCACTGTAGCCGCCTGGCAGGTTATGGGTTAAATGAGAGACTATGGACTCGGAGCAGACAGGCTTTAGTGTGTGTGTGCAGACAGGTGTGAGAACACTGCCTGCTGTACAGTCATTTGGCACTCCCTGTCTGCTGTGTTTGTGTCTGGCATAAAGAGAGGGAAAGAGAGTGAGGTGTGAGAGAGAAGCCCCAGCCTCTCCCTCCCTGTGTGTTTGACTTGTGTGTGTGTGTACGTGAGTATGTGCGTGATTGTGCCGGAAATACTGTCTGGTGTCTAGTCTAGTGCCCGAACCACATTCCGACCCCCCCCCCCCCCCCCCCCTCCTCCCTCGCTACTCAGCTTGTCTCACTTTCGTCTGAGAGAGTCAGACAGATAGACCTGGGGCCACTCAGTCACACAGACACATGTCTCCACTGCAGAGCAGACTAAACACACACACACACACACACACACACACCTACCTTATGGTGTATCATGTAGCCTACCCCTGAAGGTGTACGCTGACTGGTGAGGTAAGCCTGTCACATGCTATCCAGTCGAAACGGTTTGTTTATATATTATGATGAGATTTTGTTAGTTTAGGCTGTGTTTTATTGTGGCTGTTCGCTAGGGCCGGGATGATACCAGTATCGCGAGACTCGTTAGTATCGTGGCGCGGAAACAAAATACGAATAGGAATATGGGACCAAATACTAAACTTTTTACTACTTTAATACACATTACACTGAATGTACAAAACATTAGGAACACCTTCGGGTTAGGGTTACCAATTATCGGTCGTTCTGTAGTAATGATAGTGTCAAAAGAGATGTTGGTGAGACAATAGACAGACAGATTACTATAAATGGCAGCTCTTTACAGTATTTGTGTGTGTGTTTAGCATCTAAAGCAATGATGTAATGAGCCTGTGGGATGACAAGCAACTTGTACTTCCCTCTCAGACAGATCGCACGCACACAGACTGATAGGGTGGCGTCATCTATGGTGGGAGGGGTTTTGTCTCTTCTCCGATTAGAGGAAGCAGAAATTCCCAGTGTGTGACTCCTCCTTGGCCTAGTTGGCCTGGTTGTGAAATGCATGCTAGTCTGTCTGGAAGGACACAGTGTCCTGATATACACACATTCAGATTAGGAAAAACACTTTGTGACGTACTTGTTAGGATAGTGTGTGAGGCTGGGGAACATTTTACATATCTGTCTGTCTGAGACCGGTTTGGTGTGTGTGTGTGTGTGCGTGCGCCTGAGAGTTGTTCAGTCCAGAAGAGCCAGCCATGTTGCCTTATACCAATCCACCCCTGTAGTTCTAGCCCTGGCACCATGTCAGCTGTGGTAGACAGACAACACTCCTCCCTGTGTGCGTGCGTGTCTTTGTCAGCAGGTCCTAGACGACGGCTGCGGTACAGACAGCAGACAGCTGCTTCTCTACGCTTCCTCTATTGGCTATTTACGCACCAGTGACTTCATTACCACAGGCCAGACCTGCATTCTGTCTCTCGCGCATGCTCTCTCGCTCTTTCTCGTGCGCTCTCTCTCTCGCTCTCGCTCGCTCTCTCTCTAATCAATAGGCTTTATTGGCATGGAAAGTTTTACCACATACATTGCCAAAGCAAACATATATACACATCAAATCAATGATACAGATTGATAATAATTGGAAAAATTATAATACTCAATAACAATTAACAGGACAATCCAATAAGAAATGAGGACAATCATTAAATAGTGAGAGACACAGGTAGAAATGTTAATACTCTGGTTGGTCGTTCCGCTGGTTGTCCCTACGGGTGTGGCAGGAAGCTACATATTTTGCAACTAATATGGCATGAAGGGGTTTTTCTGTTTTTGTTTCAAAATCGTTGTATTTGTTTTCAATTTTGGGGAAGAAAATTGCCCCTAAGTCTGTATAGTTCTCGCGCTGTAGGAGAAAATGCAGAGTGGGCACAACCTGTCCTCTCTGGGTAGCCAGATCTGCCTGTGACGGCCAGTTTCTATTGCCAGACTGTGCTCATTGAGTCTGTACGTAGAAAACGGAGAAAAACATTGACTATCAGTCTCGTTGGTCAGATAGTCTTCCGTCGTGTACCAAATAGCATGGAAGTTTACTTCGATTTTGCTGTGGTGTCTTTCCAATAGGCGATATATTTTCCTTTTTGCTTTGATCATTTGTTTGGGCCAGATTTTCTGAGGCTTTATTGGGTTGGTAGTGTTTAGTGAACTTAGCTTCAGGGCCAGCTGGCTGAGGGGACTCTTCTCTATGGTCACCTCTTGGCATTTGAGGGCTTTGTAATTATAGGAGTGGGGGTCACTTGTTTTTAAATGACTATACAATTTGGTGGTTCTTTTTGAGATATTAATCAGAAGTGGGAATTGGCCTAATTCTGCTCTGCGTACGTTGTTTGAAGTTTTTCTCTGTACTCTGACGCCATATGTCCACCAGATGCACATGTTTTTTTACCGGATGTGTAGCCTCATTTGTGCTTCGCAAGGCTGCAGAATGGTTTGCAGCATGGAGAAGATCATTTTCGCCCTGTTCGACCAAAGCTAATAAGTAGAACAGAAAAGTATTCTACTATCGATCTACTGGTTTCATAGGCTGGCAGAGCTACCAACAGACTGGCACGCACAAGGGGGCATTACAACAATTCATCTAGTTCGTCTCTATTCTTCTGTCACATTCATCTCTAGCAACATCAATAAATTGAACTGGTTTTTCCCATATAGAGTACTTATTTCAAATCACTAGATTTCCCTGCATGATGGAATGCTAAATTACGCACAGAACAGTTCTGTGCGTATTAATTATGCACGCCATTCTTTTTACTAGCCAACAGGGCGCACTACCCAAGTGTAGTAATGATGAATTGTCCCAGTGTCATTCTTACCGGAGACAGATTTCCAGTCGTTCAGCCGGTATCTTCTTGTCTCTAACCACACAATAGTCATTATCATTTGGCCTCTGTATGGTGCCACCCCCGCCATGGGCAACTTTGAAGAACTTCCGTTTGTACTACCGCAAGGTAATGGAACGCACAAGTTGAAAATATTAAACGCATACGGTACACAGAAAGCACCGCAGCCTAGTGCGGCATCCCCAACGTAGCGTTGCGGACTGCTCCATTGACAATGAATTACTTCCGCCGGAACGCAAAGAGTTTGAAGCATCTGGTGGATGTGAAGCTGGAGGATGCTCTTACAGAGATCCGCATGCAGTGTTTCAATTGGGTTTTTGTCCCATTTGTCCAATTCTTGCATTGTAAGTGGACCCCACACTTCACTGCCATATAGTGCAATTGGTTCTATTATTGATTAGAATATTTTGAGCAAGATCCTAATTGGTATGTCTAATTTAATATATATTTTAATGGCATAGAAAGCCCTCCTTGCATCGGTACATCGGTTCTCTCTCGCCGTTTGTCCCCCGTCTTTGTCTCCCCATCTCTTTCTGCCTTCCTTTTCTGACTGTGTGTCTCTCTGTCTTCCAAATCGTTCTAGAGCATTCTACTCTCTGCAGAGTTCTAGAACAGATCTTTCCCACTTCGTGTCCAGAGCCCCCCCCCACGTGTTTTTAAAAAAACAGTCAACGTCCCCGGGGGCCCAATTTAGAAGACAGTAACAAAATAAGAATTGAAAGGAGACGATAAGTCGATGCTTAAATAACTCAGTAGAGACCACACTGTCTTGTTTCTGTCTACGCATGGCTCAGACATGCAAAACCCTCATGCATTTGACATTTTAGTAATTTAGCAGACGTTCTTATCCAGAGCGACTTACAGTTAGTGAGTGCATACATTTTTCATACTGGCCCCCCGTGGGAATTGAACCCACAACCCTGGCGTTGCAAGCGCCATGCTCTACCAACTGAGCTACAGGGGACACGCAGCAGCTTGTTTTGAAGCCACTTCACTCCTCTCATCCCTCACTCCTCTCATCCCTCACTCCTCTCATCCCTCACTCCTCTCCCAGGGCTTGTACGGTCATGAAAATCATGGAAAAGTCATGGAATTTTAAAATTGTGTTTTCCAGGCCTGGAAAAGTTTTGGAAAATGATCAAATCCGAAAAGTCATGGAAATTTATTTTTATTTATTTTTATTTATTTTATCAAAAAAAAAAAAAATCGACATATCAGCCAGGATCAGAATTACACTTTAGCGCGACTGTTTGTGCGCATCACCTGCATGTGTGGGCTGTTGCTCAAGGAGAGAGAGAGACAGTCGGACATTGCAGCAGCAAAAAAATATATGAACAGACTAATAACTAGGTAGCCAATTCAAAACATATGTTGTACCCTCTAGTTAACTGTTTAGCTATTAGCATGTATTAATGTTTTTGTCATGTCTCAAAAAACGTTACACTGACACTCACAAATAACGCCATACAAAGTTGATAGACTTTTTTTAACGATTGACAAAACAAACGATTCACTTCGCCATTGTATTAGTTGGGATTTGGTTCAATCGTGGTGAAAATAATCATTTGTGAATCGCAAAAAATATTAGATGTAGCCTGTCTTTTGGATTATGTGGCTTCAGAACTTGTAGATACTTCCAGTTGATTTGGGCGTCCAGTGTATGTGACATTGTAACTCAATTGATGCTAGTCAGCCTGCAAAGTAAACACTTCTAAGGTAGCTAAGATAAATATGACTGAACTAGAAAAGGTACATTTCTTGAAGAAAATGTGTGGGCTTGCTTCAGCTGAATAAAAAGATTTGTAGCCTACCATAGCCATTTTAATCTTTGATATATTGAATGAGCAAATTATTTCAAAAGGCATAACATGTATTTGGTAGTAATGTTGCAATGTTATACATCAAGGGTGGTCAACCATCCTCCAGGAGAGCTAATGTGTGTGCAGGCTTTTATTACAGTTCCCCTCTAACAAACCACATTTTAGAAATTAGCTGCTCAACCAGACCTTCATAAACTGTGTTTGAGCAGGGCTTGATCAAAAGCCTGCACACCCAGTAGCTCTCCAGCCTTAGGGTTGACCACGTGTTTTATACAATTGCCTAACAACAACAACAGTAGATTGAACATGGGATCAAAGAGCGGCCTCCAATGTCGATACCACATTACGCTTCCTTTTTTATACATACATAGAGACGCTGCCAATTGTTGGTCATGGAAATGTGGTTAAAAGTCATGGAGAAGTCACGGAAAAGTCATGAAATTCCATCTGTCGACATGTGTATGAACCCTGCTCTCCTCTCTCGCTTCGCTCCTCTCCTCCCCCTCTTCTCTCCTCTACTCTCTTCTTCTCCTCGTTCAGGGTGAGACTTTAACCTCACAAGACCTCGTCTGAACGAAATGCTCAGCCTGGAACAACTCTCATGTTCAGCCAATCACACGCTAGGGCCTCCTCCCTACGTCTCCCAGCCCCTCCCTCTCTCTCCCAGCCCCCCTCTCTCTCTCCCCCCGTGTGGACGTGTT